GATATAAAGTCGCCAGGTAGATTTCAATGGTAATGTTTTTCACATCTACTAATTATTAAGGAGCAATTTTTTATGCTTTGAAGAATTATTATGTTTTTTAATCACTTTTTAAAAATTTTTTTTAATAACTACATGATTAGAAGACGCATTTCACTACAGCTTTAACATATTCAGTAACACACTCCAGAGCAAGAGTACATCTCTTTTACAAGTGGCTGCAAGTTTCTAGGTTCACAGTTGAATTAATACAGTTATACAATATTGAACTCAGTATAAGCCCTGTAAGACATAAAATTGAATGAGTTTTTAACCTTTAAAAAAGATCTCCATTTCATTTTAGAATATATTGTTCCTTTTAGAAAGACTTATTGTTTTTGCTACTGAGATGTTGGCACATGCATCTCTAATCTGTATGTATCTGATTATTACTAGTAACAATCGGTTGCACTTGGATCCTTGGCACCTGTCTGGGTTGAAGGCTGAAGGTTGAAGGTTGAAGACTTTGTATAAAACAAAACAAAAACATAGAGCCTGATTTCTGTCTATTAAAAAGTTAATTAAGGGGACTAGAGGGATGGCTTGGCAGTTAAGAGCACTAGCTGTTCTTGATGAGAAGCTGGTTTTGGTTCCCATCACCCACATGGTAGCTAACAACAGTCCATAACTCCAGTTCCAGGGGATCCAATGCCCTTTTCTGGCCTCCATGGGCATTGCACGACACGGGTAGGGAATATACTCATACAATAAAATAAAAATAAATACATAAAAAGTTATAAGCTGGGTGTGGTGGTACATGTCTTTAGTCCCAGCACCCAGGAGGCAGAGGCAAGCAGATCTCTGAGATGGAGGTCAGCCTGGTCTACACAGCGAGTTCCAGGTCAGCTGGGGCTACAGGGAGACCCTGTCTCAAAAAGACGAAAAAAAAAAAAAGTTATAAAAAACATTAACTAAGACAGGTATCTACATGCTAGGTTACTCACTACTTTCTAGAAAACAATAGAACCTTAACCAATGTTCTGCCTAATCTGTTTATAAGATATTAAAAGGAATATACCATGATCTTCTCCAGGCTGAGGTTAAGTATGCTAAGAACAACTCAGAACAACTCAGAATGTCAAGAGAATTCCTACACTGTCCAGCTTTTAGGACTGGTGTTGGCATGAGATCTGTGGTCAGGCAGACGTGGGTTTAAAGTGAGTATTCTGCCATCAATTGCTTGTGATATAGTGAATCTTTCTAGGTATCAGTTTCTCTGTGAAATAAAAATACTTATCTTGGATTTTTTGAAAGAATGCACATGTATATTCTTACATACATTCATATGAGAGCATTCACAGATAACGCTCTCTATGGGCATTTCATAGAGCTAAGCAGATAGATGTTGAGACAGCCAACAAGAACACTGAGTCTTTACTTAGTTCCTAATTATTCAGATTAGGGCCTTTTTAAAATTTAGAGGTCCTCCAAAATGGTCACTAGACCCTGGATCTTCAGTACTGGCTCTGTGAAAATAAACATACCAAACCACTGGACAGTCACAAAACAAACATTTCTGCAGGAAATAAGGGTAGCATACTGACACTGTGACTACCAGGCAACTGAAACACGCTACATGCCACCTCAAACTCTGGTAACAGTACAGAGAAACATTTATCTTGAAATTACAAAACAGCAAAACTCTTTTTTTTCAGAGGGATATTAAGAAAATGAGTCAAATGAAATGCTTCCATAGCTGGGCGTGGTGGCATATGTCCTTAATCCCAGCACTTGTCAGGCAGAGGCAGGTAGGTGGATCTCTGTGAGTTCAAGGCCAGCCTGGTCTACATAGTAAGTTCCAGGCCAGCTGGGGCTACTGGGAGACCCTGTCTCAAAAAGCCAAAAAAAAAAGAAAGAATGAATGAATGAAATGCTTTCATAGCTCCAGGTGAAAAACAATTAGAAAGAAAAACAGATAAAACGATCCTACCTCTTGTGTCTGGGTTTATCCATGATGTTGCACAGTGAATTTTCAAGGGACACCCATTAAAAACTTTTGAAAAACATGCTCCCATCTGGAGAAAAAAGGAATCATCAATAGAAAGCAGTGACAAATGGGCCTGATATACATAAAATCATGTTTTAATATGGGAGACCAGAGGGCACACTGAAATTAAGACCACCTTCAAGTTTATAGAGATAAGCGCATCAAATCAGTCACCCATCTAACTTTTGAAATCGAGGATTCTTTTTCTGAATGATCACAGAAAATGTTTTGATGTTATTCCAGGTACAACAACAATTACACTGGAAAAAACAAAATCCTGTCACATATTTTTTTTCCTCTTCCTTCACAACTAAATCAGTCAGTACCAATGACCAATTCTGTATAATAAATTGCTTTTAAGAGTTCTGTCAAATATCAACATAATATTCTTAGGTAAGAAGGAATAATAATCCCTACAAAGAACAGCTCTAGTTTGGTTTCATGGCAAAAATGGTAGTAATCACTGAATTCATATTATAAAGTGAATAGTGTGGTTAATCTAAAACCCATAAATATGCTTCAAACTCAAAATACATAGCCTCTTTAATGAGCTATTGGCATTTGATATCTACTGGGAGAGGAACAGTCAGCTTTCTTTTGTAGCCCCTGGCAGATGTTTCCCACTCCAAAGCAGGCTCCACACCCAAGAGTATTTGGGCAGCACAAACTGGACTAGATGAGAAAAAAAAAACAACTAAAAAACAACAAAAAAACATGAAGTTGGGTGGATAGGGAGGTGAGGTGGAGGTAGATCTGGGAGGAGTTGGGGGAGGGGGTGAGTATGATTAAAATACACTGTATGAAATGCTGAAGGAATTAATAAAAATTTAAAAAATCATTTTTATCTTATGTGCATGTGTGTAATTGCACCCATGTTGTTTGATGCCCTCGGAGGTCAGAAGAGGGTGAAGGATCCCCTGGAACTGGAGTTATGGATGGTTGTCAGCCACCTTATATGTGCTAGAACTGAACCTGGGTCCTCTGCAAGAGCAACCAGTTCTCTTAACCACTGAACCATCTCTCCAGTCCCAACAAAATTAAAAAGAAAACAACAACCTGAAGAAACACACACACACACACACACACACACACACACACAGAGTCTGAGGGCAGGTAAGATGACTCAGCAGTTAAAGGTGAAGGTCTCCAAGCCTGATCCCTGGATCCCACATGGTGGAAGGAAAGAACTGACTTCCACAAGGTGTCCTCTGAGTTCCACATGTGTGTACACAGACACACCCACACCCATAATAAATGTAAAAAAAAAAATATGTTTTTAATATTGAAAAAAAAGCTGTGTGTGATGGCTCCAGCTTACAGGTCTGAGGAGAACACAGGCAAATCCCTGGGGCTCACAAGGCCAGCCAGCCTAATCAGCCCCAGGCCAGGAAGAGAGCCTTTCTCTTTTTTTTTTTTTTTGGAGACAGGGTTTTAGCCCTCAGGTGGCCTTGAACTCACAGAGATCCACCTGCCTCTGCCTCCAGATGCCCAGCAAGAGATTTTTTTTTCCTCAAAAAACAAGTTGGAAGAGAATGGAGGATCTGCATTCATAGTTGATCTCTGGTCTCTACATAGTCACATACATGTACACATGCAACTATACACACAATCACCCACATACACAGATGCAAAGAAAAAAATGTCCTATTTAATTCTGTACTACCTAGAATATCCATGTGGCTTTCTCACATTTCTTTAAAAAAAAATAGCTGCAAATAAATAATTTTGGAATCAGGGAGCTTTAAAATGGATAATAGATCATAATTTTATTTTGAAAATATATTCTCCACATAAAATCAAATAATACTCAAATTAACAATCTTATAGATTTTTTCAATAATAATGAAGGCTAAAAAGAACAGGATAAAATATATAACCAAAGATATACATTGAAACAATTATTGTCATTGTGTTTAGTTTGAAAAGTAAGTTACTTGCTATTTGGTACTTACATGCACTTTAGGTGTTGGGGGAAGACCATTACTAATGGGCTTCTAAAAGAAAAACACATGTACAACTGGAATTTTTTTGCCGGTACTTGACACAAGAATACTGTATTCCAAATATTCATTTGAATAAAATAAATACATCATTCCATATAAGAAAACAAGTATTTTTAATTTTCCTATAATCCTTCCACATCTACTTACTGCCCTCCGCCAACCAGTTAGGTACACATCTTTTCTCGAGGTAAATATTTGTATATATATTTATACATTTACTTAAATGTCTGGGCTTTATTATATTTTGCAGTGCTGGAAAGATCAAACCCAGGGCCTCTCCTATGCTAGGCAAACATTCTGCCACCCATCCCCATCCCTGTAAAAAAGATTTCAAACAATCAATTCTCATCAATGGGAATAATTAGTAGTTCTTCTGGTGAATAATCACCATGAAAGTGTTAATTACATAAAGAAGATCATAATTTATGATATGCTAAATAAAAACTAATCTGAATTTAAATAAGGAAGTTATTCACTTTTACTATAGCAAAGGTACTTTTAAGATTTAAATAAAATAATCACTAAAATAAATACACTAAAATATCAATGTAGTATTTATACAAAATACAACTGCTATAGTTTCAGTTCCTGTAAGTGGGGAGCTTACTATATAGGAAACAGGGAAACAAGTTGAGGTACAGACACTGACACTTACTGGTACATCTTTCTTCTCTTTTCTTGACAGGTTCGTGCCCCTATGTTCACTCTGTTGCTGATACAGTGATCCATCTCGCTCACCATTGAGCTGGAAGGAGCCCACTCCATTTCCTTCAATAAGGTATGTTTAAATATATTGAGAAAGGACTAATTTTTATGAAAAATTTCATTAAGAAAATTACCAAACAGGAAAGAAAAAATAAGAGCTCTGAGACAGGATTATCCTTCCTTCATTTAAAACCATGCAATCCAAATATTTAGTCCTGAAGAAGTCTTACCTATTTTCTTCTACTTAAACCTCTATTTCTGGCATATTAGGTAAATTTAAATTTGGCTTGTACCTGAACACACATTTATTTTCATTAAAAAGACAAAAATCAAATACTAAATTCCTAACTACTCAAGAAAGGGACAATTCACCTTATATTAGTTATCAAGAAATGTTAGCAGCTCTTTTTAAAAAACATTCTTTTGGATAATATAGAGAAACTTTACAGTGTTAACACCTTCTAGTGTTTATTCACAGGCAATACCTAGCAAATAATGACAATCATTTTTGTAAAAGTGATTAAATGAGAGTTAAAGAAAGCACCTTTATCTTTTCTAAAATGAAAGTAGCCTATAACTAAACCATGTTTCCTTGTTTGTCAAAACTTGATTTCCATTGGTTATACACTACAACTAAATGACAAACTAGGCAATGACCAGTGTCCTAAAGTGGGAATACTAATACGAAATAAGACACAAAGGGTTGGGGTTGTGTCTCATCTGTTAAGAGTATTGGCTGCTCTCGTAAAGGACCCAGGTTCAGTTCCAGTGTCTACATGGAAGCTCACAATTGCTTTGTAATTCTGGTTTCAGAGGAACCAATTTTTATCTCTGCCTCTTCTTATAGGCACCAGGCATGCACATGGTACATACACACTTGCAGGCAAACATTCATACACATTAACACACACACACATTAAAATAATAATATATATATAGAGAGAGTAAATGCCCCAGGCTGGGTCACAAGAAATCCTGCTGCTGAAAACACCCCGAACCAGGAAGCAACAAGCAGAAAGCACCTTCAACAGTCACTGCTCTCAATCTTTCCTCCCACAAAGGTATTTCAAACTATCTCTTGAAAGATACCCTTCACTTTTCTCCATCTAGAACAAACACCTGGTAACAGATCTGACTTCGTCCTCCACCCTTACCTAAAGCAGCAGGCTTCTGTGGGGGTAATCTGGGAGGAGGAGGTCTAGGTGGGACTTGGGATGGCTTTGCTGGGCTCCCTGATGAGGGACATCGCTTGACTGTTCCTTGATTACCATCCTCAGAAGAATGAGTCTCCTGGGGTATGAAGATAGACTTAGGCTGAAATAACAGAAAAGGAAATCAGTCATTAAACATAAAATTACTCCCTGACGTTAAATATTATTCAAACTGTGTTTACTAGATGAGTTTCAAGGCTCTTTAAGATTTAGGCAACCTTAATATATTATTTAAAAAGTATCCTAACAAATATTAAAATGTGTTACTTAAGGGGCTGGAGAGATGGCTCAGAGGTTAAGAGCACTGGCTGTTCTTGCAGAGGACCTGGGTTCAATTCCTAGGTACCTACACGGTGGCTAACAACCATTCATAACTCAAGTTCCAGGAGAATCTGGATACCTCCATAGGCTTTGCATAGGTACACTTACATGCAGGCATTACATTCACACATATAAAATAAAAATAAAATAAAAAAAAGATGTTACTTAGGTTTTGCAGCTATGGAAAGGGGGATATGTATTAGATTTCTCTCACTTTTACTAGTTTCTCATAAGCCTTCCCAAGTAACAATATTATGGTCTTCCTGATTATATTCCCATTTAAATAAATCTTTCTTTTAAAGTACTAAAGCTACTCAAAATGCAGTTCCTTATGAAGTTCAATCTAAATTGTCTCTTGGGTAGCTCAGTGAGTTTATGTTAAAGTTTAAATTAATCTTTCAGATTAGGGACAACAGAAGATACTAATTAAAATGCCGTATATTGAAGAATACCAGCACAGTAATATAGGATGGCTGAGAAACCATAGCTAAAGGTTTGCAGAATTTATAAATTCTTCAAAGTATGCCCCTTATTAGGAAGAAAGTTCAGTCTTTATTTCCTTGAAATTCAGGTCTCTATACTCCTACCAAAGAAAATTAACAAGCAAACACAGCATCATTTATTTGTGTGAGTTAAGATTTTCTCAATAAAATGAAAACAAAATACTAGATGCTTTGACTGGTAAGGTTCTAACTCTCAAACTATAAAAGAACTCATTTTGTAGCTAAAATATTCTATGCATATACTTTTATAAAATAAGCTTATCTTACTATATTACCTATATTAACTCATTTTATCCTTAAAAATGAGGAGAGGGGCTGGAGAGATGGCTCAGCGGTTAAGAGCACTTGACTGCTCTTGCAGAGGACCCAGGTTTGATTCCTAGGACCCACATGGCGGCTATGGACCGTCCTTAACTCCAGTTCCAGGGGAATCCGAAGCCCTCTTCTCCCCTCTGCGGTATTGCACAGCATGGGTGCACTCACATACATGCAATACAGTCATATACATAAAAGTAATAAAGAAATATTAAAAAAACCCTATAGATACATTAAAAAATCTGTAAGTTGGGATTATCTTATTTCATGCTGACTTTGTTTGGCAATAGGTAGAGTGCTTGCCTAACGAGCATGAGGGCCCTAGGTTCAATCGCCCTTTTTGGCAGGGGAATAAAAAGGGCTACTCCCATTAATTTTTTTTCTTTTTTTAAAGTTGCTGTCCTGGCTGTGGCTACAGGGAGACCATCTCAAAAAGAAAACAACAACAACAAAAAGTTACTGTCCTGTTTTGTATTTTAATCTATGATTATTTCCTCAAAATTAAATGTCTGTGATGGCAAATTATCAGGAATCTGTAGGTTTTAAGGAAGAAAAATCTTATTTAAAAAATGTTTTCTATCCTACATGAAATAACACTAATCTATTAATCATTTTCAAATTTACTTAAATGAGTAATAAATGGGAAAACATTTTTTTTGGTTTTTTTTGTTTTTTGAAACTTGGTCTCCCTGTAGCCCCAGCTGGCCTGGAACTCACTGTGTAGACCAGGCTGGCCTTGAACTCACAGAGATCTGCCTGCCTCTGCCTCCTGAGTACTGGGATTAAAGGCATGTGTCACCACATGTGGCAGAAAACTGAGTATTTTTAAGAAGAAAGACAAAACTGTACCATGTTCTTAGCTATTAATTACTGACTTCATATTCTGTCTTTGTGGATAGTAAGTAAGAATCAGCTGGAGTGACTACCAGCACAGCACTGAAGTAGAAGAGCAACACGGCGCTCACATGGGAGAGTAATAGGTCTACCTTTGGCGGCAAGGGTGGCGGGACTTTAGCTTTCATGGTTGAACTAAAAACAGAGAAAGTAAAGAATCAGGGCTCTGCATGTGACAAATGAATTATTACAAAACAATTATTTTTCAAAGACAAAGAAGAAAAGCTTTCAAACACAAATGCTATTTTCTGGGTTTATGAGGTTTTTTTCCCAAAATATTTTGTGAAATGTTCAAGGTCTGTTGAATGAGGTATTCAGGAGTATGTGGGTAGATGTGTTACATCTTCTGGGTTTCAAATGCTGACATGTAATTAAAACTGGAAAAGATTGCTACAATTCCAGTTTATTTAATTAAGAGGTAAATAAGAATATAAGCAGTAGTTAGGTTAGAAAAAAATGATACAAAACAGAGCACACAATTTCTCTTCTGTTGCCATGACAAAATACCGACCAATGCAACCTAAGGGACAAAGGGTTTATTCTGGCTCACAGTTCAAGGATGCAGTTTATCATGGCAGGGAATTCAAGGCGGCATGAGCTTGGAGGAGCTGGTCACACCATACCACAGTTTAAAGCAGCATAAATGCAGGCTGGTGCTCAGCTTGTTCTTTTCACTGCAGAAGATCCAGGGTGCTCTGCCCAGGGAATGGTCCTGCCCACAGTTAAGAGGGGTCTTTCTCTATCGATGAACCAAGCCAAGATAATCCACTACAGGAGTACAGGGGATGTGAGATTCTGTCAAGCTGATAACACTAGCCATTACACTGTAAGTTTCATTTTTCATTGCTATTAGATATGAAGGATCTTTGATGGAGATGCATGTATTCCATGAAATGACAGGCAGAATTTGAATAAAGCTAAGATTTATTATAACTCAGGATCAGTTTTAGAAACAAGGTATTAAAAGATGACAGAGCACAAAACTTTTCAGATGAGGACACTGAAGTCCAAAGAGGAAAGGTGACCTGATCCAAGGTCAGAGTAATTCTGTGGCTGTTGGTCTAGTGATGTCAGACTGGTGCTATCACCTACTGTTAAAAGTGCATTTTCTTTGTCAAAAAAAACAAACCCCAAACAAAACAAAAAGCCCTCCCCAACCAAGTAAAAGGGCTAAACTATAAACATTTATGCATCCATAAAATTGTTCCCCCTTTAAAAACACATTTATAGACAAAGTATTTATTTATTTGAAACACATCAGATGAAATTTAATCAAGCACTAGTACTTTTTGTAACAACAGGTAATAATTACAGCAGCTACCAATTACTGACTGATACAGTTTCAGAGTGAAATGTTCCTGTGCTGGATAGTTTTAGTGTCAACTTGACACACCTGGGTTGAGGGAGCCTCAATTGAGGAATTTCCTTAATTGGACTGGCCTGTGGCCATGTCCATGGGGCACCTTCCTGATTGTTGAGTGATGTGGGAGGGCCCAGCCCACTGTGGGTGGTGCCACCCCTGGGCAGGTGGGCCTGTGTTGTATAAGAAAGCAGGCTGAGCAGGGGCCAGGAAAGCAAGACAGTAAGCAGAGTTCCTCCATGGCCTATGCTCTAGCTCCTGCGTCCAGGTCCCTGCCCTGAGTTTCTACCGTGGGCTCCCTAATGAACTGTGACCTGGGAGATGTAAGCTGAAATAAACCCTTTCCTCCCCATGTTGATACTGGTCAGAGTATTTTGTCACAGCAATGGACAAACAAACTAAGACACTTCCCCAACAGGCTCAAGTTTTGAGCTCTTGATCCCCAGCTGAGCACTGTCTGGGGAGGTTATACAATCTTTGGGGCATGGTGCCAGGCTGATGAAGGCTGCTAAGGGCAGGCCTTGAGGGTTATGAGTAGGCCCTCCTTCCAGTCCCATGTCTTCTTTCTGGTTGGTACCACGTGAAAATCCACAGCTGCAAGCTTCCACTGCCATGGAACCAAGCCGCTTTAGCCACCATGCCTGCCCCACTGTGACAGACTATACCTCTGAAACTGTGAGCCACAACACAGCTCTCCTCCCTTAAGCTGCTTCTGTCAGGTATCTAGGCACAGTGATGAGAGAAATGACTAATAAACTGACTAAACTACAAAAAAAAAAATTGTCTTTGTCATTTTTTTTTCTCCTCAAAGTCTATGTTTTCAACTAGTATTACAGACTGAATTGTATCTTTCCAAACTCACAGGATGACATGTGAATTCTTAATGTGTCTGTACTTGAAGATAGGGCTTTTAGGAAGAAATTAAGGTTAAATGAGGCCACAGCATTAAAAGGAACAGAGATTTTTCTTTGTCCTACTGCATACACATCAAGGAAAGGCCATGTGAAGACACTGTCAAGCCTCTGGAGATGGAAGCAGGAAGGAGATCAGTTCAAGGTCATTCTCAGTGTGGTGGTATGAATGAGAATGTCCTCCATAGGCTCCAAGTATCTGAACACTTACTTGGTCCCATTTGGTGGTGCTATTTTGGGAGGGTCATGGAACCTTTAGTAGGTGTGGCCATGCTGGGGGTGAGCTCTGAGAGTTCACGGCCACTTCCCATTTTCAGTTTCTCGATCTCTGATTCCTGTGCCTGCTTGAAGATGTGAGTGCTCGGCATTCTGCTCTGGCTGCCTCTTGACAGACATCCTTCCCTAACATGATGGACTCTCATCTCGCTGGAACTGTAAGCCTAATAAACTCTTCTATAAGTTGCCTCGGCCATGGTGTTTTATCACAGCAACAGAAAAGTAACTAATACACTCAGCTACACAGCAAGTTCTAGGCCAGCCTGGGTTACCTGAGACAGCCCCCCGCCTCCCCCGCCTGTCTCAAAAAAACAAATTCAGGGGCAGGTGAACAGACAGACAACCAGATGGAGACTAACATCAGAAACCAAGTTAGTCAGCACCAAGATCCTGAACTTCCTAGCCTGAACTTCCCTCTAGAATCAGGAAAATTAAGTTTCTGTTGTTTAACCCAATCAGTATAAAGCATTTTTGTCACAACCCAAAGCTGATTAATACAACTGGAATAGAAAAAAATAAGGCACTGTACTATTCAGCATATTAAAAATTACTATTAGTATCAAGCCGCTAGAATCATGAAGAGGCCAAATGGCATCTTTTCTTTATGCCAAAGAGAAACAGAACTTACTGTTTAGATTCATCATCATCCCCCTCATCATCTTCTAAATGTGCCACATGTCCTCTGAGAAAAAGGATAATGCTATCATTATTAAACGGACTTTACCAGAACATCTAAGAAACTGTAGGAAACGAAATGCAGGAGGGCCTACTGAAGGGCAGAATTTTATTCCTGTATCTTTATAGGATAGACTGAGAATTAAATAGAAACAATAACACATGACAGAAAAGAGGGAAATGCTTTAACTATGACATACTTCAAGTTTAATTAAAAGTTAAAATTACCGCTGATGTAATTCTTCTTCAACAGACTTTAGAAGACTCCTAAAACACAGAAACAAAAAGCAGTATGAATAATCAAAGGAATAGTAAGTATATATATTTTATTACTTTAACCTTAGTCATTAATTTTCTGAATAACTTACTTTTTTTACTATTTATTGAAAATTCACCACAATCACTTTTGTATCATAAGACACCAAGCTATGCTTGAATGAGATATCTAGTTTTGATTGCTGATGTCTTTATATATGTATCCTAAGTGAACAAAAAGTAAATCCTAATGTTAACTGAAAATACTGACTCAAACAGAACACAATTCACCATGAAATGCCACAACAGTACTGACAAAGCAGTAATTGCAGGGTCAGGGCCAGGAGTTTCCAGGACTCACATTCTACCTGGAATGTTAGGCCTGACACCTGAAATTGTATTTTCTTTCTCAACACGAGGAGGGTGACACACTTTGGAAGAATCATGCTCTCAGGCAATCCTGCAAATGGAACTCAGCACACTGGCTCTCTGCAGAAGCATGCACGCATGTGATGTGAACACATGAATGTAGCAGTACTCTGCTTTCACAAGGCACTCACTTACCTGTGGACTGTTCTCCAGTGGTGCACTGGCAAACACATTTACACTTTTGGGAGACTAAGCCTGTGTCAGACCAGGCGTGAGGATTTTTACCATTAGGCACATTATAAAAACAACTTTAATTTTTAGGAACGTCAGAGAAAACTTGGGGCACTTCGGAAGTTCTGTGACTTTTCTCATTGTAAAGTTCGGAAGATGCCTCCTGCACTACACTCTTTAAGCCTAAAAACCCCCAAACCTTGAAGTTCCTTTGAAATGAGTAGGATAAAGCTAACTCAAGAGGAACTTTACTCTTCCTCAAACTTGGAAGGTATTATTTTTGAAACATTTTCTCTCCTAATATATATAGGGAAAAACTGTCCTTAAAATTACCAGAGAAACTGAAAAGCATGGTTATCTATCTACTACAGATAATTTATAGAACTGTCTTTAATATTTTAATTGGGTCAGATTAATAATAAATAATCTGTTTTTGAAATGACAAAAGTTATGAATCTAGAATAGTAAATCACACAGAAAAACTATAAACTAATTTCAGGTACCATAGCCTTTAGAAAGAAAAACTGAGGCAGCACAATCAAATATTCTGTTAACCACAAGGCTCTCCAGGACCAACTTTAAGAAGGAGCTTCTGGCTAGGGGCAGTAAGGCAAAATGGGTGCAGGTTTTAAAGCAAAGACTGCCTGAATCTGAAGACTGCCGCTACCTCTACAGGCCACAAGGCTTTGGAAAAGTCACTTTGATTTAAACTGACTCACTCCAGTTTCTTTCTATGTAAAATAGGAATTACATTAGCACATAAAATGTTTCAAGAAATGGGAGAGGAATATAGGTAAGACACTTAAAAAAAGTGATTTTAGACACTGCTAACATTAGATTAGTACTTTCTTTATTAGTACTGACCAAGAAATACCTCCTTAAGTTAGCAAGCTGTAGCATCCTGGAGGCCTCCTAGTCTTCTGTAGGAGGGTCTACAAAATCAAACTATTTTCATAATACTTTTTTTTTTTCGGTCTTTTTGAGACAGGGTTTTCCTGTACTACAGCTGGCCTGGAACTTGCTACGTAGACCAGGCCTGCCTCTGCTTCCCGAGCACTGAGATCAAAGGTGTGCGCCACCACACTCGGCTCATACTACTTTTTCTACTTGCATTTCTCTGTGATTCTATACTGCAGTTTTCTAGAAACTATATGGTATGTAATATAACAGATTAAATGAAGTAGCAGATGTGAGAATTCTGCTATCTTCTGGGAAGGAAGAGTGAAGGAAATAGGCCAAAAAAAGAAAAAAAAAAAAAGAAAAAGAAAACGTCATTTTTCTTATTACTTCACTGGTGAAAAAAAAAAGCTATTTTCATCAGAATACTATTGGTTAATAGCTTCAGCAGCTCACTGTACTGCACTGATTCGTGCTGTAATTATTTGTTGTCTCTAGGTCTCCTGTGAGAGCAATCAGCAGTGATGTAAGGAAGGCATGATAACTTTAAAAAAATTGTATGAGACAAGTATTTTATTTAGGATGAATGTATATTATTATTTTAAAACAAATTAAATATTTTAAAAATTCTTTAGTTTAACTTCTAATACTATGAATGCTGTATTAGCAGCAGAAAGTCCTCAAAACTTCTTAACATTGCAAAGGGATCTTGAGGTCAAAAATCTGAGAAGTGGGGCTTTAAATCACTCTGCCAAATTAAACTCTAGGACAGGTGGGCTTTCATATCATCTGAAAAGATAAGAAAAAGCCAGGCATGGCAGTAAATGCCTGCAATCCCAGCACTCGGGAGGCTCAGGCAGGAGGATCACAGGTTTGAGACCAGCCTGGGCTATATAGTGACACTCTGTCAAAAACAAATGAAAGATACATGGCAATATTTTCAGAGGCATTTCTCCAATAGAAACTAATTAGGAAGGTAATTTATAGTTAGTTTTTCTTTCTGTTATCATACCCAATGGGATTTTTATAGCATTCTACTGGCTTTTTTTTTTTTTTTTTGTATTGTTTGCTCATTTTGTTTTTTTTTCTTGAGACAGGGTCACATGTTGCCCAGGCTAGTCTCAAACTCACTACTTAGCTGAGGATGACCTTGAACTTCCTGTTCTGCCTTGAGGGCTGGAGTAACAGGTGTGTGCCACTACATTCATTTTTTTTTTTTTAAGTGCTGGAAATTGAACCGAGGGGCTTTGTAGGTGCTAGGCAAGCAATCTACCAACTGAGCTACATCCCCAGTCCCAACAATCTATTTTTGAAAAGAGAATCTTAGTGGATATTCTCTAATAGTATAGTTTTTATTCATTTATTTGTAAGCATCTTACTACATATCAGGAGAAGCAGGACTTTGGTGGCTTTATAAAAGGATGGAGCCTGGCTCCATTTGTTGAAAGAGCCATTTATAGTAAGTATTATATTTGGAGAAAATGTGGTACTGATTTATTCACCAAGATTTTGTGCTGCACAAGAAACAATGCTACCATTCAACAGTCTCTTTCTATTCTTCTATTATGGAACTGTTGCTACCTGAATTGAATTACTATATCTGAAGTGATAAAAAATTTGATGACAATGTTTAAGCTATAATAATGTTCGAATACAGATTTAACTGACCAGGTGGAAAAACTGCTATGGGAGAAGTCTAAGACCACCAAGTACTTAGCATATCTGACTTAGCTAAGGGAGTCATGCTGTAGGTTACTGAAATCTTTCACAATTGCTGGGCTGCCTCAAAACAATCTATGTTTGTACTTCACTGACTATGTTTCAAAGCAAGAAACTTCCTATTTCTCTAAAACTGAAGATTAGTTTTATGTACCTATTCGTTTCCTAAAACAAAAATTATTTACCAAGTAACCACTTATACTTAAAGGCAATTAATAAGCACTTAGTAGGACCCACATGTACTAACACTTCATAATGATTATTTCCCCCTTAGCACTCTAGGAGGCAAGTACCATTTTACAAGAGCTAGTGGGAATAGATTTCTCAAAGTCAAGTGTTCACAGGAAGAGACAAATCTGGCTGAGTGTGGCATTTGCTAGTGCATTCAACTGTGCCAGGAACATAATTCAACTCTTTTCATTACCATTTATTCAAAGACATTATCTTTAGAACTTTGTTCTATGCTAAAAGCAAAATCAGATATGATTTAATTTTCTTTTAAAAATAACTTCTTTGATTAAAAAAAGTCAGAAGAGCTGACCCCAGTGATACTAGAATTCAAAAGAAAAGGTACCAGTCTAGTCTATATTAAAATATGCCTTCTGTTACAGAAAGCAAAGTTCCTAGGTAATAAATCTGACTTGACAGTTCCTGCATGATCTGGAATGGGGAGAAACCCATCAGTGGAAATAAATCTGTCTGCCTGATCACCTATGGAGAAAGCAGGAAGTCCTGTGACAAAGCATTTGCCTAATCACAAGAGTAAAGCAGACATATCAATACATAGGAGAAGTGCTACATCCATGCTCATGTCACATGTATGTATACACCTACACACAAACACAGCCAGAACTCAGACTGTTGGCCAACCTACCTTGCCAATGATTCGTTATATATAATACAGTTCCTTAAGCAGGGATCCAATTCATCAAAAAATGAAGGTTGGGCAAATTATTAATATTTTACCTAGTCAAAGTAACTATATATGCTAAAAATCAGAAATCAGACAATGGGAATTAAAAAATCTGGAAAAACATTTAGGGGCATATTATTTTGATTTTGCAAGCGAATTAATTTTTAATGAAAGGTAAATGAAACATTGTCTCAAAATTATTCAGTCTCTTAAAATGCATCAAAATTTGGTTGTAACTAGGTCCTTAAAACCAATGGCATCATTTTTAGAGAAAATAAAAAGAAAATCAAAACTTTTGATCTGTGACACAAACTATTCTTTACGTCACTAAAACCAGGACAAATTACAAATAGCAGATAGTTACTATTTAGGTAAAATAGCATTTTCTAGCAAGGAAATTTTAAACTTGTTTTCCATTTAAAGAAAGATAGAGGCCAGTACTCTATCTTTTTTACTATTAACAAGGCTAATGAAGGTAGTTATTATAAATGACAACAAATTCTACATATTTAATTGAAATTAGATTAAACAAAACTAACATACTCCTTAGCTTGTCATTCAAAGCCCTTTCTCCTCCGTACTGGAAAAAGTGTATTTAAGTAAAAAAAATAAAATGTTCAGTATATTTATTAAAAAAAGAGAAAGGTCTCCAGAAGTCTCACCCCTGGCTGAGGAGCCTTGGGCAGATGATGGCTACTGAGGGAGAGAAAGTCAGTTTATTTATTTTTTTTTCCAGGATGTGGACCCTGAGAGGCTACCCATGCTCCAGTACATGGTCCTATACCCGGACACATATAGGGAGCACCAAGTGGATTCAGTGGGTTGAAAAAAAGAGAGAGAGAACACATGACATTAGGAGGGAACAGTGGTGGGGGATGGGGAAAAAATAGGGGTGGATTTGATCAAAACACATTATATGCACGCATACAATTCTCAAATAATAAGAAACATTAATTGGAAAAAAGGAGACAAAGATGATTTGCAGTATTAATCTTTAAACTGAGGTATTCGCCATACAGCATTATTCTAAACTGCTTAACTTAAAATATGGGTTATATATTATATGCTTAACTTAAAATGTATTTTAGCTCTCTACAATTACTGAAACACCATTTTGAAATTAAGTTGTTCTGATTATTTAAGTAGCTACACATTGACAGAATGTTTTGGCAATTTAAACATTTCCTTATAAATTGATTTATACAAAGATAATTAATCAATGAACTGAGGAAGTGAGAATCTAGGGAAAGGCAGAATCTTGACTCTTGGCTTATTAACTACGGTGTATGGCAAACTTAGTTTGTAAACTACCTCATGAGCACTGTGCTCTTACAGCCTAGATGGTGCCTAGTATAGAGCAGGCACTGACTAACTGTCCAATTTATTTCTTGCATGAAAATGGTACCTTTAACAATTCATACTTATTTTTATTACTATACATTTTTATTTTTAAAGACTAACATAGCTAAAAGTCAAGATACAACTTCTACGTAGTATGGATAATTCCAGCTGTTTTCAGAGGTCAACATACTTGGGAGATGTACCAGAACAAGATTTGTAGAGTGTAAACAGGTCAACTTTAGAAAGAAATCAATTGCTGAAACATATATTCATTTTAGTTGGAGTATTCTTGATTTTCTATAACAAGTAAGAGCAACAAACCAAGTTACTATAAAATGCTTAAGTTGATTCTCCCCATTACAACAATTATAAACTATAGGTGGTAAACAGAGAAACTATGGAAAAAGTTAAAGGCATATTATAAAACATATCTACCAGTTCAATACAACTTACTACCTTAAACATTAAATATAATGTTAAAGACAACCTGTTTTGAATTTAAATTTTAAAAGAACTTTACTTACTTGTTTCCACCTAAAAAGTAACTACTTTGGTGTCCTTGTCCATATTCTAATTGTAGATCCTAATGGTGTAAAAATAAAATGTTTAGTATAACAGTTTTATATCACAATCACTATACATTAAAATATTTTTAAAAGAAAAACTACAAGCCCAAATAAATCTGTATTGCTATATACTTTTAAAAAGAAGGCATGGCAGGATGTTCAACAATATAAGATGGAAGTTTGAAGTCCTGATTTTTATTATTTAAGTATTTTTCTGGGAATTTGTTCAAATGATAGCCACAAGTTTCATTTGTTGATATTGTAACTATAATTAATATTTGTAAAGATTAGTTTGAAGAAAGGAAAAAAGCTTAAATAAAGTACTGTTAAGCTACAATGAAGCAAAAAATGAACAGAGAAAAAGCAACAAAAATCTCTGACTTTGTCATTGTGTCTGAAGTGGCCATGTATATGTACATATTCACATATGTCTATTGTTTCATACAGTAAGTTAATATTTTAAAGACAGAAAGCTGGGTACTATTTTAAAGTGGTTTGCTGGTGAACGTGTATAAGACTGGAACCTGCACTGAAGGAGTTTTAAGATTTTAAAGGATCAAATGGCAAAATTTCAGATGGACACAAAGAGTTCTTGGATTATTTAAACATTTCTGCTGAATGCTGAGAACTGTAAAGAGCTGGGAATTAAAATTCAAAAAAATCAACATGTGCTCCACTCCAACACCTTGAGAAAAATGTACTCAACAACCATGGAAAGGATGAAGTTGCCTTTTCTCCTCTTTAAAAGTAAGGCACCATATTTCAAGCACTATTTTAATTTATTAAGAACACTAACAATTTAAATGAATTTTATTTTTATTAGAATACAATACAGCATCTTTTTTTTTTTGTAGTTTACAAGACAACGTCAGATGCATGATCACAGCTTAATGGAAGTCAACGTGGAACAATCTCCCAAGGTCAGATGTCTGTAGTCTGTTCCATGTCTCTTGGGTCACCACACAGATCTCAAGCACCTACACTACATTTTAATCTGTCTACAAGTCTGCCATGGTATGAACTTCTCAAACACAGAGGAATAGGTCAAAACCAAAATCTTGACTTAGACAAGATTGACGTTTTGTCCTCTTCAGTATTTGTGTTCAGTCATGCACATAATAAATGTTCTTACTAATGACAGCAAAGCTAACACATTATAAACAAAAAAGGTTAGTAGACTGTCATACTAGTATCACAGGAAATTAGAATAAAAAAGGATAGTTGTTCTCTTTAATTTATAATGATGTATCTTAAAAAAAAGATTTATTTTTATTTCATGTGTATGTGTTTTGCCTGGATGTATGAATGTGTACCATGTGCGTGCTTGGTATCTGTGGAGACCAGAAGAAGGCATCAGATCCCTTGGAACTAGAGTTACAGGTAGATGGTTGTGAACCACCTTGTGGGTGCTGGGAACTGAACCTGGCTCCTCTGCAAGAGCAGCAAATACTCTTAACTGAGTCCCAAAAGGACTTACCTTAATGGGACCAAACCACTGATATCGTAAGACTGCCATACAATTATTTTACTGCACAATTTAAGCGGTTATGATTTTACATACACTAAGCTTTGGTATTCAGTAAAGTACTAATCTCTATGGACATACTTCTAAGTTCAACTTTGTTGTCATTAGGTATAGATAAGTGAGCCCACTACACTAGATCAATAACATCTTTAGCCAAAATAATCTCTCAAAATTGTAATTATAAAACAGCTTCCAAAAACATAATTTATGTAGAGTGGACTGGGCTTCTGTTAGGCAGGAATGTTCCATTCATGTGAGCGATGACAACAGCGAGTTGAAGATAATGATCAAAAAGTGAAAATCAACTGATGTCAGGAGTGTATTGAAGGTAAAGAGAAGTATCTAAAATAACTAAAGGAATATCTTAACAGAAAATTGAACACAGACTCATATACAGAATAGCATTCAGGCCAACAGAACATATAAGTTGTAGCCACAGCCAAGTCTGAGGAGTGAACATGCCATGTCTTAAGTCCAACCAGGAAAGCTAAAATTGAGAGAGGCTAATTCTTTAGTAATATTTTCTTTTCCTGAAATCAAGCTATGCTACAGCAACCATAGATCAAAAGCAAAGTGCAGCCAGCAAGGTGTCTCAGCAGGTAAAGGAGCTTGCTGCCAAGCCTGAGCATGCAAGTTCAATCCCTGGAACTCACATGCAGGAAGTAGAGACCCAATTCCCGCAGAGCGTCCTCTGACATCCATCTGCACTGTGGTAAACACGTGCCCCGCCATCGATAATTTTTAAAAAGGATCTGAAAGCTATTCCACATTAGAAAAATGCTACTAAAATTATGCTTAGAAAGCACTCAAAATAACCAAGATGACGGCATCAATTGGCTATCCCGGTTAAGCGAAATCAGAATACACTTGAGCATGCAAGAATCAAAATGAAGACAAAAGCATTAATTAGGCACGAACTTATTAATAAATGCTAATGCTTAATTACACAAATCATTAACAATAGGAACTAAAAACATGCAATAACCCAGGAGAGACTCAACCTGGAAGCTCAAAAACAGTTCAAGACAGTTATCCTGAGCTTTGTGGGCGAAAAAAGTTCAAATTTCTGTGGCTCAATTAAACAGATGGGGGAGTACTTTTAAACTACGATGGCAATTCTAAGAAAATAGTGTGAACAGTGTGAGAAAGAACTTAAAAAAGGACAACACCATTTAACACTGGAAAAGGAAGACATTTATGATCAAGAAAATCTTTTTTGTTATTGCTTGTTTTTGAGACAGGGTCTCCCTGTTCTTCCAGCTGCTGGATTAGAACATGATACGTAGTGGACCAGGCTGGTCGCAATCTCTCAGATCCGCCAGCCTCTGTCTCCCAGTGCTGGGATTTAAAGGTATGTACCACCATGTCTGGCTCAAGAAAATCAAGAACTGTAGTTCTTTTTTTCTTAAATCACCTTAGGAGACTACAGTATTCCAGATGAGAAAACAGCAGAAAGTCAATATATAAACACACTTAAAAAGTATGTGTTAACCAAGAAAAAGAGGAGAGAATTTTTTTTCCTCATTAAAAAATGAGAAAATAGCTGGTCATGGAAGCACATGTCTTTAATCCAAGCACTCAGGAGGCAGAGTCTGGTGGATCTTGTGTTAGTTCCAGGCAGCTGGGGATACTGGGAGACCTGTCTGAAAAAACCAAACCAAACCAAACCAAATGAAATGAAACGAAACTCAAAACCAAACAGAGAGAGAGAAAGAAATATTGTTGCTAGTGAAATATTTTTTAATGTGGAAGATGATGTACGATGATGTACAGAAATAAAGTAGAAGTGAATCCAAGGTCTTCAAAAGTCAGAGAAGCAGGTGGGGTTGCAACACTGACAATGCAGGATCCCAGCTGACCAAAGCAGACTGAGTGAGGGCTGCAGCAGGACATGTCTTCCATACTGCGAGTTAGAAAGATCACCAGCAGCTGGTTGGGCTATTTTTCATGGCAGTGATTATATGTCACACTTAATAGTCTTCCCTAATAATTAACATAGTATTTTAGTTGGGCATGGTGGTGCATATGTGCAATTCTAACAGTTGGAGGTGGATCATGAGTTTAAGCCAGCCTAGCTACACAGAAATCCTGTCTCAAAAAGCAAACAAAAGCAAACAAAACAACCCCCAAAAAACTCCGAAAAGCAAAAAGACCCCGAAAACCAAAATATTTTATGTGTTACTAACTTTCAGTGTACTTTCAAAAAATAGTAAAATTAGGCATATTATAACATCTGGTGTGATTTGAAATACAATCTTTTAATCTAAAGATATTGTTTTATAGAGCAGATAAGTTCATTTTTATGACTATAGACAAAAGTTTTACTATTCAATTATTGCTTTTAGTGAGTTTTAGTAATGCAGGCA